CTGACCTACACCGTCCCATTCACCCATCACCCCTGTACTCACTGACCCAAACTGCTCTTTTATCCATCACCCCTGTACTCACTGACCTACACTGTCCCATTCATCCATCACCCCTTACTCAGTGACCTACACTGTCCCATTCACCCATCACCCCTGTACTCACTTGACAAGGTAGATGAAGAAAAGTTGCTTGCTCTTGTGAGAGAGGCTGGGACAAGAGGGTATAATCTCAGAGTAAGAGGTTGCACATGTAAGACAGGGATGAGGAGGTATCTATTCTCTCAGAGGTTAGTGAATCTGTGGAATGTTGTTCTATAGAGGGTTGGAGAGGAGGGGTCATTAAGTATATTCAAGACTGAGACAGATTTTTTAATCAGCAAGGGAATTAAGGATTATGGGGAAAGGCAGGAAAGTGGAGTTGAGGATTATCGGATCAGCCATGATCTCATTGAATGGTGGAGAAGATTTGATGGGCCAAATGGCCTACTTCTGCTCCTACAGCTTATGGTCTTATTAACTGAGTGGCATGTTCGGGCATTGCAGAATACAGTTAGATTCCTCTGCATTAGGTGGGTCTGAAGTCATGTGTAACCGAATGTTGCCAGTTGTGATTAAGAGAATTCCTGGAGATTTCATCACAAAACTTGTTCCCCGCTCTCCAGCTATTAGTGCAACAAGGGGTCCATCTTTGTGACTCCCTGCCATCCTGCATTGGAAAGTGGAAAGACTCAACAGTCAACTGGGTGATGTCGGACTGTCAGCCAAACAGCCTTTTTTCAAACTTATTTTGAACATTTTTGTACCAGGTAAAATGTTTAAAGAAATTTATCAAAAAAATCTCTTTTTTGAAGGTGCCTGTGATTTTTCTTCAGGATTTTATGTAGCAGTGTCTTGGAGACTTTTCAAGCCTTGCAGATTAGACTGAGTAAGGGTGACAGATTTCCTTTCCCAAAGATTGAACCAGATGGGTTTTTAGCAGTGTTCAATGATAGTTTTGTGGCCACGATCACTAGTCTTCAATTTATTAATTGATTTCAAATCCCACCAGCTACCACAATGGGATTTATACCTACATCCTAGCCTGGGCCTCTAGGGTACCAGTTCAGTGACATATCCACAGTTTCAGAACCTCGTTGTTCAGCAGGGCATCACCAAGCAGTGAACCGATGCTGGAGCGATGTGAGGACACTGACTGTGGACAGGAGAGAAGAGAATGCTTTTTCTGCCTCTTATGTCACCAGATATGCGAGTTACTAAGTTTACATCTACCTGTTTCAATATAGCTTCACCATTATGATTCTTTCTTCCCATATTATTCCTACCACAGTTCAACACAACATGCCCTTCCACACTGAACTGCACTGACCATGCTTCTGCCCGTTTTGGCATCCTGAAAGGTAGTTTCGAATTTTTGTAGTGCCTTCCATGACTGCTACACTTTGCAGCGAACCAAGCTCGTTTTAAGTGGAGTCAGTGTTGTCTTATGGGAAGCACGACTGTACTTGCCCATTTGTACACGGAAGGCTCCTATAAACAATGAGATAACCTGTTCAGCGTGATGTTGTGCGAATCACAAATATTGGTGATGACACAGAGACGCGATCCTTGCTCTTTTCCGAACTAGTTAAATAGGCCGCGTACAGACTAGGCCTCAGTATGAAGATTGATTGCTGCCCCTGACAGCGCTGCCCTCCTTCAGTCCCGGACTGGGTAAGGGCAGCCTGAACTTTGTACTCATGTTTCTGGAGTGAAACTTGAAACCACGGCCACTTGATTCAGACACGAGAAATTGAGCCACGAGATTAGATTTACTTATTTATTTATTTCACCGTATTTGTAATAGACGTGACAAAGTGTTGTTCAGTGTCACCATCGTCCAGCGCCATCTTGAAACACGAAAAACAAAGCAAGACACAGAATATAAAGCCAAAATATGAGGCAAAACAGAAACAGAAGTTGCTGGAAAAGCTCAGTGGGCCTGGCAGCATCTGTGAAGAAAAAGGAAATCAGAGTAAATGTTTCAGGTCCGGTGACCCTTCTGCCGAACTCAAAGCAAACTCAGAAGCAAAACAAAAACAGAAGTTGCCGGAAAAGCTCAGCAGGTCTGGCAGCATCAGTGAAGGAAAAAACCGAGTTAACATTTCGGGTCCGGTGACCCTTCCTCAGAACTGAAGCAAAGCAGTTCATCTTCACATTTCCTTCTTGTTGCAGCTCACAACAAATCATT